TGGGCAAACTGGGCTCATCCTTCCTGGGCTTTGGTGCTGCTGATGAATCCAACAGTTGTGGAGTTGTTTGGACTTCTCCCAAACTGAGCTYAAGCTCACTCAGTCCCTGCCCCAAGGCAGAGCAGCTCCAAGCCCCAGGAACGTGCTCGTGGAAAAACCCAGAACCGTCGGAATTCTTGCTTCGGAAGCGTAAGAACRCCAGGCCAAACATCCCAGGCTTTGGGAGCAGGTGGAATTCTGTGCCCGAGGGGAAACCCTGGGTGTGTGGAGCTCGGGGAGGTGCAGTGTGTGCAGCAGGTACTGGGATAGGAGCTGCAGCCTGGGAGTGGCCAGGCTGCTCCAGGTGCCACCTCTCTCTCTTCTCCCAACGCCTTGGCTCGGGCATCCCAGTGGATTGGTTGGACAAACTCAATTACAGGTATGCAGTGGGAATGTTGGTAATGGAATGAAGAGATGTTCTTGTTTGGAACTCCCTCGTTTTTTTTGGCTGGCAGACACCAGGTGTGACTAAACTGGAATTTTGGGAAGGGTTTTCACAGGCAGCTGCTTTCCGTGGATGTGACTGGATGCTGGATCCCTGTCCTGATCTGTCCCCCACGTGTGAGGAGAAACGTGGGAATTCTCATGGCAGCTGGTGGAAGGGAGGTGATGCCATGGCATCAAAAAAAACTGGGATTTGAATTCCAGGAATTTATTGGTTCCTTTAGGAAATAAAGGATTTTGTGTTTTAAACAGTTGAGCAGCTGCTAAACTCCACGTGCTGCCTTCCTGCTGAATCTCCAGGAATTTATAATTTATGGAAGCTTTGTGGCCTCCTGAAGATGGACCTGGTGGCTCTTGCCATTTTCCCAGGTGTTGTACTGGTGGGCACTGGGGTTTCTCCAGTACCAGCAGCTGTCAGCCCAGTACTGGTGGCACTGGAGAGTCCCCAGGTTCAGTGCCCAGGATTTGGCCACAGGGAGTGGGAGAGGGAGGGATGAGGAAGGAATGTGCTGTGCCACCCCTGCCCTGTTCCCTCTGACATTTGATGAAGTTTCTGAGGAGTTGCTCTGTTTTCTTTGGGCTTTCACCACCTTTCCAAGGACTCTCAGCCCTTCCCTGCCTGCAGGGAACTTTTCACTCCCTCTATCCTCCCTGAGCTCTTCAGGAGCCAAAATCCCCTCTTTGTCTGGCTTTTCTCTTGCAAAAGGGAAGTTTCCCTTCCCGTTCTGTATCCAAATTGCTGACTCCTCTGTCTCTGCTTTGGGAAAGTTTTCCTTTTCCCCTTTCAACCAAAGCTCACCCCAGCCCCCTGTAACTTTTTAGGGGCTGTAAGGGAAAGAGGAGCTGTGATTCTGCATTCCTCACCTTGGGACTGTGAAGCTTTTTGMTCCTCTTGGATCACTCATTTTTCAGAAGATGAGGACACATCCAGCCAGTTTGGAGATTTTCCTCCCTATTTAGTATTTCCTTTTGGTCCTGGAGGCCAAAGGAATAACTGCTACAAAGCATTTCCCCATTTCCCAGTTCTGTGCTTGCTCTCACTTCCCTCTCTGCACCTTTCACACCTCTCAGAGCTTTTTTGCTTTGTCACAAACTGTTAAAATCAAATTGCCCAACCCAAAGTTGAAGTTTCTGTCTGAGCTTGTTCTGGGGAGTTCCCAAATGTGTCTTCAAGGCCTCAGGTCACCCTGTGGATCCTGATCTCAGCTTCCTGGACAGTCCCTGCAGAATATTGGGATTCTGCTGGACCAGCCCAGCTCAAATATTGGCATTTTCTGCCCTGATCAACTTTGGGAAGTGATGTAAATTTAAAGGGGGGGAAAAAAATAATGACTGTGATAAATAACACTGAAGAGTTCTTCAGTTTGGCTTTCTGGCTATTGCAGTAAATTTTGCTCCAGCCTCTTGTTTCCTGAACTTTTCCAAGTGTGAGGTTTAAATAAATCCATAAATCAGCCTCCTCTGCATTAAAACTTGAAGATACCACAGGAAACACATTCCTTGATTTAACCTGCAGTGATTTKGTGTTTTGGAAGTTTCCTCCCTTGGGAGGCTGCTCTGGTACTAAACTTGGGCTCCTGAAGTAACAATTTTTGTGCTTTTGGATGAAATTTCTCTGCTTGKGTCTATGGGATGTTCCCTGACAGAGTCCAGAATGGAATCCTARCACATGGATATCTGCTCCTGGCACTGTTCCATGGCATCCTGTGGTTTGGGATCTAGAAAAAAACAGCAAAAACTCCAAATAGACCCAGCCTAACTTAAAAAAATGTTTCCTTTGCCAGCCCCAGACAATATTCTCCTGGCAGAAGGGTTGGATTTGCATGTTTTTAGGTGAAATTAATGCGTTTTCATTGCTGCTCCGTACTCTGGGCTTTGTCTTGGCTMCTGAGCTGTTGCACTGTGTCCTTCCYMTCCTCCTGCTTTTTGAAATTGGGCWGCTCAGGRAGTTCAGGTRTYCTTTGAAGGAAAGCAGCTATTTCAGGCTGGATATTTAGATTTTCATGTGCCTGTAAGGCTCGAACGAGAAGCTCTGTGCAAAGCTGGCTCAGRCTCAACTTTCCAAGAGATTCCTGGAGATCTTGTGGTTCAGACTCAGGGATTGCTTACAAGAGCAATTCAGTTGTGTTGAATATCCTCAAAATTCTTTGGAAGTGGTTTGAGTGGATCTGCAGGAGGAATTGTAAGGGGAGAGGAGAGCCCTCAATCCGGGGGTTCTGCAGTGCTCAGGGAGTGCCTGATCTGGAAGCTGCAGTGGTGTTGGAGTGGAGGTGACCTGGGAAGATTTTGGTTTGCATCCCTTCCCCTAAGTGTGGTTGGATCTGGCTGCTGCTGTTGAGCTGGATGGTGTCAGAACCTCGTGGGAGTGCTGAACCCCCCAGGACTTGTTGGGAGCAAAGCCACGTGTGCAGTGTGAGCTCAGCTTAAATAGAGACTGCAATTCCTTCAGTTAATCCTGAGACCAGCACAGACTGAGCTGGTGGAGCTGTGGATGATAATGGACACCCTTTCAAAGGGAYTTGTCAGCCTTTTCCAGCCTCAAAGTCCTCCCAAAACCACGAATGGGTCGGAGCTGTTTATCCTTTTTCTCTGGCTGGAATGCTCTCACTGCTAAATTATTGTTTAAAYTAAGAAATGGAGATTACAAAAAAACCCAACAGGGATTTCATTAAGCATTCCTTGYTTTTCCAGCTGCAAGAGAGACTTTTCCAGGCTGTCAGTGTTCCACAGTGATATCCAGTGTCCTGTAAATTGCTGGGCCTGGGGGAGGTCAGGCTGAACTCCTCCCTCTGCCCTGGTGGAGTTTTTTGTGAAACCCCAGTTCCTTGMTCCAGTTAAACCCATGCTTTCCCACAAATAAAACATTCCACTTTACAGATAATTCAACTTGGAGTCCACCCCGTTTAAATTTAAACCCTGGGACTTCTGAAACCAGAAATAGAAAATAAAYTACAAAGAATGTTTATTCTATTCTGTATGCCAGTCCCTTCAAAGGCAGCAGCCACTTGTGTAGTTGGATTCTGGAGGTTCCTGCCAGGGTTATTTGGTCCTAGAGAGGCAATCCCAATCTTGTGAGGAAAGGGGCAGCTCTAGTTTTCCATGGACTTTTGCCTTTTGCTGTTGTATTGAGAGCAAATATGGCAGATTTTAATGCTAAAATGRAATTTCTTGTGGCTTAACAAAAACCTGCTGAAATCAATAGCAGACAGTTGGTGATACCTCGATGTGTTGGTTCGTTCTGAGTCCCTTTTTGAACAATTTTGTCTTTAAWTCCTGAGATAAACAAATCCCTTGAAGTTCTAGATTCCAGAGCCAGGGTTGCATCCTGAAGGAAACTTATTCCTGCAGCCTTTCCCATGGATTTGGATTGCCTCAGGTAACGAGCGGGCACTAAAGATCCAGGCAACTGCAGAAATTTGGCTTTTGAGGTGGAGGAAAACCAAGAACATATTGAAATGCTTGAAACCTTTACTGCATACCTGTAATTGTCCAGTTTTGTGGTCTAGAGAACATGGAGTGTTTCTGGGCTTTCTTATAAGGCAGAGGCTCCATACACGGTTGTTGATTGTTCTAAATTCCCATTGTTTTCTTGGCTTTTCTCCCTTGGTATCTGTGTCGTCTGGAATCTGATTTGTAGTTGGTGAGGTAACATACGTGGAGCTCTTAATGGACGCTGAAGGAAAGTCAAGGGTAAGTGTTTTGAGAGTTTCTTTGTGGATTTTCTACCTGAAATGTTTCTGTGTGCTGGACAGGAGGAGGCCAGGGAGGCTCAGAGTGTGGATGTGCAGTGGCTTTAGGTCAGAGGAGGATGGGAGGAGGTGGGGATGGGGCTGTGCAGTCAGGAGCTGTTCCCTGCGTGCCGTTGGCGTTGGCTGTGTGACCCCGGAGCCCAGCAGGCAGGACAGTGCTCTGGAATGTTGTTCCTGTGCTTTGGAAAAGTCACTCGAGAGGTTGGCTGACTTTGGAAAGGCCAGGGTGCTGCAAACTCTGCAAACTCCACGTCCTGAGCCAGTAGAGCGAGGTAAATTCCTAAATGTAAACGTTCAGTGCCTTCATGGGCCTTCAGTCCAGAGTACACCTAAGTGTCCTGTAGGATATGGATTTAGGGTGAGAGTGTGGAGGGTTTTGCTGTATGCCAGGGAAAAGCAGGTCACAGGAAGCGTGTGGTATTTCTCGGAGAGTCKGGATTTAGTGTTTGTTACAACCTCAGAGACCCCAGGTTAATCCTGTTGAGGCATAAGAAATTATGGAATTCMAGTATTGGAGGTTTGCCTGTGTAAGGTTACATTTATTTTTCGCTGGTAGGGCTTAACTAATGTGATTTGGCTTTAATAATAAAATATTTGTGTGCGATTTGAGCTTTTACTGACTTGATTTCTTTTCTCTTCCCTCCTCCCTGTGACTGGCCTGGGAAATCACCTCGCCAGGGATGCGCGTAAGTTCTTTCTRAATTYCTAYCAGAAATCCAAGGAGACTTCTTCAAACCAGACATCCTGAGCTGTGTTTATTCTCCACAGGGTGGTTGAGTTCAAGATGGAAGAGAGCATGAAAAAGGCTGCCGAGGTTTTGAACAAGCACAGTCTTGGTGGGAGACCCCTGAAAGTGAAAGAAGTAAGGACGGGGCTGGAGTGGGAAGGGGGAGTTCTTGTTGAAGATTTRGGGCTGACTTGGGGGATAATGGACAGAAAGTAGGGCTTAAATAGGATTAAAAWCCCCAGTCAATGTTTTTTTTCTCATAATTTTAACCACTGCTACCCCTGTGGTTATCAAGAGTAAACTTGATTTAAGGACAAAGCAGGAGTTTGGSTTTAATTRCARTTCCTTTGYTGATGATATGACYCAGAAACCTCCATGAGTGTTGTTCATTCTTGACCAAYTTCCYTTTGAATTCTGCACTGGAATGAGTRGATTCCATAGAACCARCTCTGTTCTGGAATACCTCAAAACTATTTCCATTTTAATGGCTTTGCTCAGTCCTGGGAGTGATTTCTAAACCCTCTCCAGTGGCATTGGGGGTTTATCAGGGTTTGGAACAGGTGGCACTGAGAGGTTTATTGGTGGGATTAACAATGGATAATGGGAATGGGATGGATGGGAACCAGGGCAATACCTGAGCAGGAATAAATTGATAAAGAGAGCTGATAAGGTGGGACTGAGAGGTTTATTGATGGGATTAACAGTGGATAATGGGAATGGGATGGATGGAAATACCTGAGCAGGAATAAATTGATAAAGAGAACTGGGTGTTGGCTGAGCTAAAATAAATTGAGTGACGGTGATAGGGAAGGAGATAAGGTGGGACTTAGAGGTTTATTGATGGGATTAACAATGGATAATGGGAATGGGATGGATGGGAACCAGGGCAATACCTGAGTGGGAATAAATTGATAAAGAGAGCTGATAAGGTGGGACTGAGAGGTTTATTGATGGTATTAACAATGGATAATGGGAATGGGATGGATGGAAATACCTGAGCAGGAATAAATTGATAAAGAGAGCTGGGTGTTGGCTGAGCTAAAATAAATTGAGTGACGGTGATAGGGAAGGAGATAAGRTGGGATAAAGGAAATCCCCTCTCTCTGTGGGGGCTGCAGCACTGAAGGTGGTGGCAGCAGGATCTGAGGGAGTGTTTGTGTATCCCCACCAGGATCCAGATGGAGAACACGCCAGGAGAGCCATGCAGAAGGTGATGGCAGTAGGAGGGATGGGCATCGGGCACGGCCCTGGTGGCCCTGGCATGATCAACATCCCCCCCAGCATCCTGAACAACCCCAACATCCCCAACGAGATCATCCACGCCCTGCAGGCCGGCAGGCTCGGCAGCACCGTCTTCGTGGCCAATGTGAGTCAGGACATCCCCTCACTCGGTTCAAAATTCAAGGTTTAAATTACTGCTGCACCTGTGGTTATCGAGACTAAACTTGATTTAAGGACAAAGCAGGAGTTTGGGTTTATTTGCAGTTCCTTTGTTGATGATTTTSACCAATTTCCCTTTGAATTCTGYATCGGAATGAGTGGATTCCACCAACAGTTCCACAGAATCAGCTCTGTTCTGCAATAATACATCTGGATTTTTTACATAATATGAATGATTTCTTAATTCTTCATCACAATTTTTGCCTTTTCAGAATAAGATGACCGGGCTAAAATTAAAAGTATTCAAAAGACTACTACAAGACAAAATGAAAACAAACCTGTTTAATGACAGCAACACAACTGATTGTTTATATTTTCCTATCCTGCGTGCCTGTTTCTCCATTCTGATTCAAGGCCTCCTGATAATTTTGGGTTTTTCTTGTGATCTCCAAGGGGCAGATCTGAGGGGGGAAAAACTTGGTTTCCATTCCAGGAAAACTTCATCTGTGTGCTGTTGATTCCCTATGCTGAGGAGGTTCTCAATTAAGTTTCTGTCATTTTAGAACAAATCTCTTTACTTGGATTAAATTTAATCTATGGCAACTCTTTAATTCCGAAACCAGGAAAAGACATGAGCCCTGTTTTTCTCATGGAAATCTCTCTTGCATTTCCAATGCTGCCCTGTTTTCCAGCTGGACTACAAGGTGGGCTGGAAGAAGCTGAAGGAGGTGTTCAGCATGGCTGGAGTGGTGGTCMGGGCTGACATCCTGGAGGACAAGGATGGAAAAAGCCGCGGGATTGGCACCGTCACCTTCGAGCAGGCMATCGAGGCTGTGCAGGCCATCTGTATCCTTGGGAAAACTGGGAATGGGGGCAAAGAACTGGGAAACGGGGGAGAAGGGGAATTTATTCCAAGAGATATCGCCATGGCAGGGAGAGAATGGAATAAATTCCCAAAGGAGGATATCGCCATGGCAGGGAGAGAATGGGAATTTGTTCCAATGGAGGATATCACCAGTGAGGGAGAGAATGGGAATTTATTCCAAGGGATATTGCCATGTGAGGGATAGAATGGGAATTTATTCCAAGGATGTCGCCATGGCAGGGAGAGAATGGGAATTTATTCCAATGGAGGATATCACCATATGAAGGAGAGAATGGGAATTTTATTCCAATGGATATCACCATATGAGGGAGAGAATGGGAATTTATTCCAAAGGAGGATATTGCTGTGGCAGGGAGAGAATGGGAATTTATTCCAAGGGATATCGCCATGGCAGGAAGAGAATGGGAATTTATTCCAAAGGAGGATATCCATGTGAGGGAGAGAATGGGAATTTACTCCAAAGGATATCACCATGTGAGGGAGAGAATGGGAATTTATTCCAAAGGAGGATATTGCCATGGCAGGGAGAGAATGGG